CCCCCCCCCCCCCCCCCCCGATCAATATTTTTTACCGATGGGTATTTTCAATTATTTACTTCTCTATTTCTCTCTTACGTTCTCTCTTTCTTTGCGTGTGTTTGTTCTTATTTATTTGTTTGTTTGCTTCCTCTGTTGCATTCCGTTTCTAACTTCTTCTCTCCCGGTAGCTCGGCTAGTTTTATTCTTACACACACACACACACACACACACACACAAAATGCCATGCAAACACCTCTGATATACATGTCTTTTTATTTTATTTGCCTGCTGTTGTTGCTGCTGCTGCTGCTGCTGCTTGCAGTTATTTGACCACTGCATGCAACCACATTTTCTCCCGTTATTTTTTTTTTTGTTTGTTTGGGCCTTAACGTCTTTTGGGAGTTGCAGCTCCTCCTGTCGGGGAGGAGGAAGGAGGGGAGCACCCTCGTCACGTCCTCTACTTCTTTCAGTTGGACCTGGCGTCTTTTTGTTCGGTGCGAACAAAATCCATCGTTGATAACATCCCATTTCTCACAAGAGCCGTATCAGCGGCAGGCGGAAACCCACGCGGAAGGGTCGCTTTTCATTTTTTCAATTGCGTAAAGGAGCCCACTTTGTGCTCTCACACTGTGTGGAAGGCTCTTTTTTTGTGGTTGCACACTCATGTCCGTGCGTTTTTTTCTCCCTCTCTCTTTATTCCCTTTTTTTTTTTTTGATTGTTGTTTCGTGTTCAGCTTTTAACTCAATCCAACTGCGAAGACAAGGAGAAGCAATGCCTGGAAAGCGCAAGAGAGTGCACGGTGTTAATCATGCCGAGAGTCAAGCGACTGCTGTGCCGCAGGGAGATCGTCAGACGAGAGCAAGGCTGGAGTCCCATGGCGACACGGATCAACCCGCCGCGACCCACATAAGAGTGGAGGAAAGGCGGCGACCGCAGTGGACTATGAACAGCATCTTAGAGGACATCCTGCTGTGAAGGAGGACTTGTGGCAGCAACATGTGGCTGAACGATTTTTTTGCGATGGAGTTGGACGGCAGGGCCGCTATGGACGCCAATTGGGGTGTCTTACTGGCGGCGTTCTTTAGGGGCCCCAAGAAGTATATTCGCGATGCGGGAGTATTGGGCGAAATGCAGGCATCCGATCGTTACAAGATGATGGAGAGGGCTGTGAGGGATGAAATGGATATGGAAGAAGATGTAAGCAGGCTTTACAATAATGGCATGTACGAGTTACTGAGGTGGTTGGTGGCTACTGCGGAGGTAACGGCAAGTGCTCATGAAGTCACTAAAAGTTTTTTGGATGCAGCCGCCGAGGAAGCGCGGAATCCAACGACGACGAGCGCACCGAGATACCTGGAGGGATGCTACGAGTCTGTGTACAATGCGAGGTGGAACCATGTGGTGGAAGTTCCTGGCGGCGAGGGGACCGGACTGGAAGTGAGGGAGGGGGAACCACCACAGTCATGGACGTACAGGGCAGTTGGCCGAACTCTCGAAAAGGATGACGGTGTGCAGCAATTCGGTGCGACACGTCCCGTGTTGATGGTGCTCACCTCGGACAAGGGATGGCCGTACTCGCGGAATACGATACAGGATCTTCCTAAGGATGTTTTTGTAAACTGTGAGGTGGATCGAGTGTGGCAGATCGTCAAGGGCGATCTAACCGCGTGGTTCAGCACTGACGGCGGGACCGACTTTAGGCCCGAGCGACGTGTGCTGATTGGGACGCCCGGGATCGGGAAATTGGTGGCTGCCGGTTCTTACCTCCTCTACCAGCTGCTGCACTACGATCTCGAGAAAATCCAAGTGGTAGTCCACTGTTTTGGTGGAGGAGATGCGTACGTGTCTGACAAGACCACCAGAGCGGCGACAAGATACGGCGATGAGGACATGTGCATCTCGGAGTTGAGAAGTTTGAGGGGGCATGGGAGAAATGTGTATATTATCTACGATGTGGCAAAGGAGGGAACGCCGCCACCGAGACATTTTGCGCCTACTTCTGGATGGGGCATGATTGCGGTGTCATTCCCAAAGGTAACCAACTATGATGAGTGGGCGAAGCAACTACAGGCCGCGCGAATCATCGTGAATTGCCCCGACTAGATGGATGTGAAGGCGATGTGCGCCTGGATAAAGCGTGATGAGACTAAAGAGAAACAAGCGGAATACTGGAAAGGGGTCAAAAAACACATGCATCTTTTGGGACCGATTCCACGTCACTTCTTTGATGAGGAGGCGTTTAATGAACGCTGTGGAGCGGTGAAGTTTGCATTGCAATCGATCAACGAGGTAACTGTGAAAGAGCACTTTTCACGGGGAGGTGAGTCGCCATGGTATTCTGAGGATCCGTCCCACAAGCTTGTGAAATTTGTTCGGGAAATATACGCAGGCGGTGTGATCCTTTTCAATGCACCGATATCTGATTGCCTCGAGGAACGGACATTGGAACGTTTCCCAAGTGTAACAGAACAAAATGGCTTTTTGAAGCTGATGTTGGCGTCGAAGGATAATATTTTGCCAATATTTTTTGGATGGCTTGCTTTGAGACCGTTGACGGAGAGTGCCTTTGTCAAGGTAATAGCGACGAAACTTACGGAGTTTGAGCCGCCAACAGGACGTCAAGCAAAGCCCTGCGTTTTGAAGTTGGCCCCTGAATTGCATCCCAAGGGAGATGAGGGTTTGCTGCCGAGTGAATATGAGAAAACGATCCGTAAAATAAAGTACGGGGTGCTGTACAAACCATGGGCCACAAACTTTCCGCTGGTGGACGCCTTTTCTTCTTCGTGAAGTCAAATCCAATAGCGCTGCTTGGGCTTCGGGTGACCGCGGCGGGTGGGCACCACACCACCGCCAGCACTGTGAGGCAGTTCACTGAGTGCCTGGCGGCACATTTTAATGATTGGGAGGAATTGTCACGGCAACTGTCGTGGGAGATGATTTATTTGCTGCAGGCAGACAGCACAGCGATGAATGGCTGGCAGAGATGTGATGTTGTCAATCCCAATAGCGTGAGCGAGGAGGAAAGCCGTGGAATAGCGGCGTTCTGGAAGGAAGAGGTGCGCCAGTACCAAGTGTCAATATCATCCGGGACCTTGGAAGAGACGAGGCTCTCCGAAGTGAGGAATAGCCACGGAAATAGGAGAACAAATTTGGGAGGGAAAGGGACGGTTTGATTTCTGGTAAAACGTAATGTGGGATATAAATTTTTGGATGCTTGGGTGCATGCATACAATGCAGGTGCACCAGCACCAGGTGACAGTATTACAAGGAGATGTCAAAAACGTCCAACGCTATCGAACTTAACAGTGAAAAAAGAAAATTAGGGAGGGAGTGGGGTTGTTTGGTTTCTGGTGAAAAACATCGGATGATTTTCATATGGCATGTTGATTGTGTGTGTATAAGAGGCTTAATTGGAGAATTGCCCCGGTGTGAGGGAATAATTGTGGCTGGCGGTGTCACGGTGTTACTGTATTGTCCATTTTCTTCTGTTGCGTTCGAAGGCCCATCACTAACAGAAGCATCTTAAAGGGATGGACGACGAATAAGTTCTATTGGAAAAATGGCGCACTCTGTGTGGCTGCATGGAGTGCGACGCCGCGTCATGGGTGGATGAGGGCCCGCTTCTGCTTGTGGCTTTTTGGGCGATTGCTCACTTCGTGTGCGTTTTGTGTTGGCTGCGGGGCTGTGGCCGTATCCCGTTGGCCGTGGGACTGAACTGGAGGCGGTGGCGGTGTGCCTCTTCTCGTCCATTGGTGGGTGGCTGCTGGCGGTGTGTGCGTTTGTTGTGTGGAGGGCCGAATTCACTGCGATGGTGTGAGTGTGAGTGTGAGGGCTGGTGTGGAGTTGCCGGCCAGGGTGAGGGCCGTGGCGGTGCTTTTCCCGCCTGTCGTTTGTTCCTTCCGTGTGTTTTGTGCTGCTTGTTGCTTTTTTCCCCTGTCATCCTCTCCTCCTGTGTTCCTGCGTGGAGTGGCCGCATGCTCACGGGCCATGTTGATTGTGAGTGCCTCTTGACGGCATCCATCTCCCTCTCTCACTCTCTGCCTGTCATTCCCTGTTGGGTGGGGCGTGTTGCACCGCGTGAGGGCTGGCCCGCACACACCGACGGCCTGTCGCGAATTGCCGTGTTGCTGCTCTTTTCTGTGGGCGATGGTCCTCCGTGCTGTCCCTTCCGGATTCTCTTGTGTCCCGCTGTCCGCGTGGGTGCTCTGCTCTGCTTCCCACGGACGTGTCTGATGTATTGCCGCTTTTTTCTTCCTTCACTTGTTGAACGCATACACACGCTAGGAAAGAAGTTAATACCAAGCGCTAATTGCTACCGTGAAATTTGAGGGCTCTGAAAGGAACAAAAACAGCACACACAGCGCCCACCCACACGTATTTACATGCTCTCACGTGTTGCTGCTGTCAAGGCACCACGCACACACAACCGTCGCCGCGTGACCGGATCCAGCGGAAGGAGGAGGGAAGGAAGAGAGAGTGAGCGGCAGAGGCCCAACATGTCCCGGCGTGTGTTTGCTTCCGCGGTGCTGCTCCTCCTCCTTGTCTTGA